GAGACTTTGCCGCGGCCCGAAACGCAGCCTCCTCGAGGGTCGGACCATCTTGGTGGGCCCGCATGGTCGCAAGTGGTGCTGGCGGGGGGCCCTCCCCCAGGAAGGGAAAGACAGGCCTGGGGTGGGGCTCCCCTGCTCCCTTTTGCTTCCCAGGAGCCCACGGCCCCTGCGGTCACCGGGGAGCTCGTCCAGGCCCTCCCGGTGGCCTTCCCGCAGCACCTGAAGGTGCCCACAGGCACTCAGGTTCCACCAGCTCGGGTCTCCTTGTCCCTGAGTCCATGACCCTTCCCTGGACTGCTCCTGACGACACCTCCCTGTAGGCTCGCCTTCAAAAGCAAGCCTCTCAACCGAGTGTTCCAGACGGGCTGCCTCCTCTGTCTCTCTTGGCCCACTACAATCTGGCTGCGGCCCGGACTTGGCAGCGTTCCGACTGCAGGCGGATCGCCTAATTCTGCAGCCGCACCCCCCCCCCTCCGCAGGGGGGCACACCCTCTCTCCTGGGTCCTGCCAGCTCCTCTCTCCCGAAGGTCAGCTGTCTTCATCACCTCCTTGGGGCCGGCCTGAAGCTCAGTAAAGCCAAGCCACGGGCGTGCGACCTCACTCCCCTGCTCTCGGGGCCGTGACTCGTCAGCACCCCAGGCGGAGGCTCCCTGTAACATGGCTAGACGTCTGTGCCGCCCCGTGCGGCCACCCACAGTGGGAATGGCTCCCGGCGCCGGTCCGGGCCTGCCACGCGCCGGGTGCCAGGCCAGGGGCTCTGTGTGGAATTGAAGGAACGGGTCCTGACCGCCGTCTTGCCAGGGCCCCCTGGCGGCCTGGAAAGCTGGGCTCGTTGTCCAAGGGCAGGAGAAAGTGCACCCAGTATTTACACCCCTAGGTGTCTACTCAAGAGAATTGAAGCCACATGCCCACACAAAAACATGTCCAGGACCACTCACAGCAACACTAATCCCAACAGGTGAACAGGTAGAAACAGTCGAAAGGGGTGTCAACAGGTGAACAGACACACAGAATGCGGTCTGTCCGGGCGACGGCGGCGACTCGGCCGGAACGAGGAATGCGGTTCTGACCCCTGCCACAACAGGACCTGCCACAACAGGACCTGGAGGGCGGGGTGGAGTGAGAGCAGCCGGACACAGAAGCCCACATGGTGCGTGATTTCACGGACGGGAAATGTCCAGAACGGGCAAATCCGAGGAGGCCGAACGCGACGGGTGGGTGCCAGTGGCCAGGGGCAGTGGGGAGTGACTGCTCGTGGGAACGGGTTCTTTTGGGGGTGATGAAAAGATTCCAAAAGTAGACTGTAATGGTGTAGCCGCTGTGGAAAACAGTCTGGCAATCCCTCAAAAAAATGCAATGAGGCATTGCCACGTGGTCCAGCAGTCCCGTCGCTGGGCGCACACGCAAAAGAATGGAAAGCAGGGGCTCGTAACATGAATGTCGCATGTTCAAGTGGCCCTGTGACGCGTGGACCTCACAACATAGCTTGATGCAACAAGGTCGGATCCCTAGAACCCAGCCCCAAGTTTTTGTGACTTCCAAGTTTATACTTTTCCCTCCTCCTGGGTTCCAGGGAGCTTTATCTGTCTGTCCCCACAAGGGTCAAAGAATCAGAGCCTCCGGGATTGTCAGAACTAAAAGCGGGCCTCCCGTGAGGTCACCCGCCCGACCTGGCCCCTTTGGAGCACTGGACACAGGATCGCCTCTTCCCAGCATCGTCGGGGACCGGCAGGGTGGCCTCGGATGGGGCAGCCCTGCCCTCTCAGGCCAGGCGCACCTTCTTTCTAAAGGGCTGTCATGGACCTCCGAGGCTACCATGTTGTTTGGGAGGTGAAGTGCCACCTCGGTGGGGGTCTGGCAGAGGCGGAGCAGGTCATGTGGGGGGAACCTCCAGCTCACTGCTTGCTCAGCCCTCTTGTCTAGCATCACACTCATGACTGAGCTCAGTCCTGGGTCTGCCCCAAGACGCCGGGGAAGGAGAGGGGAGGGGACAGAGGGAAGAGAAGGGGGAGATGGCCATGAGTCCGTCGCGGTCTCTGCAGAGTGGGATGCTAATTGATGATTAGGGCTAACAGAAGATCAAGTCTCATTTTAGCCTAAAGCAGATTACTGCCCTGGAAAGTCACCCGGCACCTGGGCGCCCACGTGTGCCACCCGAGGCCCAGTCTGGGTCCCACGCTCTGGCACAGGGTGGATGAATGGGGAGGGGCCCTGGAGAGGGAGGGCTTGGGCGAAAATGGGTGTGAAAAGCAGCAGAAGTGGGTGGGTGGGGACCTTGACCACTGTGGGCTTTCGGTTCTTTGCGCCCCCCCCCCCCCGCCCCAGCGCCCACTGGACTAACGTGCTTCCAGAAAATGGGACAGTTTGGCCAGGCCGGGCACGCCGCCTCGCCGCAGCCTCCACCCTGCCCCACTTACGGCGCCCTCGCTGCCAGCTGGGGCCGCCCGGCCAGGCCGGAGGAGGAGGTGTCGGCCCCGTCGCTAATCCGACTACTCTGAAGTGATGCCTCGTGGGGGTGCCGATTAGGAGCCCCGGGAGCCGGCCGTCACCTTGATGCGGCTTCTGGCTCTGGCCGGCGGGCCAGTGGCTTTGTCATTAGCAGCCACAGGCTGCCAAAGGGACGGAGCGAGCAACCACTCGGCCGTTGTCTTGGGCTTTTGTGTGCGCGTGCGATAAAATAGAACATCCAAGTCACCATCCGAACCGTTTTTAAGTGTACGGCACACCCAAGTCCCCACCGTCCACCCCCGGAAACGCAGCCCCATCCCCATCAGACGTCGCTCCTCCGGCACCCGCCATCCTGTGTTCTGCATCTGTCAGTTTGCCTAGTTCGCGCACCTCACTGGGGTGGAATCATCAGGTACCTGCCCTTTTGTGTCTAGCTTATCTCACTTGGCATGGTGTTTTCAAGGCACATCCCCTGCCTTCGGCTTTCGAAGATGTTGACACGCTTCGTCAGAGACCCCTAAACGTGCACCATGTGTATAAAGGCCAAAGGCAGGGGCTGGGCTGTTTCCCCATTCCTGAGACGGTCGCGTGACTTCCTGAACCGCTCGCCTCGGAACCTGACAGCGATCAGATTTTCTCCCCCCTCCAGCCGACCGACTCCCCATACCGCCCGTGTCCCCCTCTCGGTCCGATCCCCACGCTCCTCAGCTCAGTCCCGTAATCTCGCCCCATCTGCTGCGGGCCTCCTGGAGCGCTGCCACGCCTGCCCCCTATGACCTTGAGCAAGTCAGTCAGCGTCTCCAGAGCACGTGTCCTCATCAGGGCCATGGGGATGACATTCACTTGCTGTGAGGCTTAAAGGACGTCATCCTTTTGAAAAGCTCTAGCACAGTATGTGGTACAGAAAACTCAGTCCACGATTCATTCCACAGCTACTCGCCAAGCACCTGTTGAGGCCGGCGCTGTTCGGCGCCCCAGTGCGCAGACCAGTCGGGAGACCCCTGCCCTTTGCAGCTGCCTGTCCAGTGGGGGCGGGGAACATGGACGCCAGCCATAATGCGTAAGCTGTGATGAGTAGGTTGGAGAACAGGGAAAGGAAAACAGGATACAGACATGCCAAGAGCGGAAGGGAACGGGTGGCCATTTTAATAGGGCATCAGGTGGGCCTCTCTGAGAAAGGCCTATGTGAGCCAGGACTCAAAGGAGGGAGGGAAGGAGCCATGTAGAGATCTGAGGAAGGCATCCCAGGAGAGAACCAGGAAGTAAGTGCAAAGGCCCTGGGGGCGGGGGCATGCCTGGCATGCTCAGGGGAACACCAAGGAGACCAG